CAGCGGGGTACAGCTGGCCCCCAGGGAGTTCCAGGTAATGGGGCACTCTGCAGCTGTGTCATGCTAGGTTCTCTGTGCAACAGTAGTGGAATAAACTGTCTCAAAGCAGCCAAAGTGAACTTGCTCATAGTGAATCATCAGATCTATTAAATAGCTTTTAATGGAGTCACTAGTTTGTATAACAGATATGGTCTGACGTATCTCTTCCTGTTTTGTCACATTTTTCTGAGCTCTTTAGTATGTTCATATCTAACCATGTTCTTCTCTTACCTTTGTCAATCAGGTATTAAGTGATGGGCGCTTGATAAGTAAGACAAGACCAACAAAACCAGTCGTCACTGTGACACTTTTTGGACGGTGGTATGAAAAAGATGATCTGAAGCAAGACCCACAACTGCCAGCCTTCTCATGATATTACCAAAACTGAAGCTGTATGCTATTAACCCTATGTCCAAATGAGATACAGCATCCTCTGCTATAACAATCCCAATTATATTTCTTCTTTCCAGTTGCACAAACTTACCTATGTCCTTTGTTTAGTAATAATGCAGCACTATTATTTTACTGATACCATTTATTGAGAAGTATCTATTTCTATATCATAAAATTACCAATCTTTTGTAGTGCAAAACAGCAGTTTTTTTGTTTCTCTCTCTGTTTAACGGATTTATTTTTTTTTCTAGCCCTCAGAAAACCTTTACTGTGGGCCAGAGGATACATTCTTATTAAAAATAGCATTGCATCTTTTATAATTGCAGATTATTATAAGACCAGTAAAAAAAACAATTAAAGATGTGATTTGTGACATGTCTGTACAAAAAAGCTTGACAATGCTGACCTATGTAAGTCTGCTCCTACTCCACTTATACATCTTTCTCCTATTTGTATTTCTTTGGTTTTGTTGCATTTATGCCACTGCTGCACATCATGTGGCACATGGCAGCACAGAATACTGCAACACGGAGCCTGAGCAAGGCCTCTAGTCAAAGAGGCAACCCTGAAACAAAGTCTGCCACCACTTCTTGATCAGAACTCAACATGAATTTTCATTTCTTTGAAATCTCTGTTAACCAAAACTTGGAATTGAAACCACAACGTATTCTACTTGACAGTTCTGAACACAGCTTGCCAACACCTGCTGTCTGCACTAGATGCTATTCAGAGCTGGAACTGTTCGTACCCAATGAAGAGGTCACTGAGTGACCTGGTATCATATAGCAGCTCCTCCATCCCATCTTCTCTATTTCTGGACATATAACAACAACATATGTGAAATAAGCCTTGTCCTTTGCTTCTTCATGATAATGTTGGGGGATGTTGCCCTGCAGATAAATTTGCTGTAGGGATTAGCAGGTTTAGATTTACATTTAAGACCAGGTAATCCTGCTGAGAAGGCACTGTTCACATCTTTGCTTCCCCTTCTCCTCCAGCTGTGTTGCTGTTGCTGGACCCTAGTGACCTTCCTTCAGCATATTGCTGTTTAAAGATGTGCATGTTCTGTGGCTGTTAAGAGAGGTCAAAGACCCCTATTAGTCTAATTTCTCCCTCTTTTTCCCTACACTGGCACAATTCCTGGTCTCAGCATGGCACTCTCAAGGTCCTCAGTCCCATATACTTCTGTTATGGAACTGGTGAGAAATTTGGAGTGCAAATAGTGCCCAAAGTCCAGCACTGAGTATCACTGCTGTGCACCATATGACCTTTTCTGTTTTCAAATGTAATAGATGCTAACATGTGACATAACATAGTGTCATGTCTAGCATAATGATATGTTTATTGAAAACTCCAGACAATGTACTCTGACTCATGGAAGCTTAAAATAACCACCGTTAGAGCCATGCTCTCTTAAAACCTTGTTCACCATTGGAGTCAGTTGCTGTGCAATCACAGATCTCAGTCCAGCAAGGGATTATCCAATGTGACACTCTTCCCATGAGTAAAAACTCAGTGTACTTGTCCCCGAGGAGCCAGTGCGTGATACCACAACTCTCTGCCAGGAAAAGGATCTGGATCTAAAGGAAGATATGGCACACAAAAAAGTCTCATCTTGCAACGCAGAAAGGATTTGGTGGGGGTGTGTGGCCAGACTCAGATGAGAGGCAGCTTCTTCTGATTCATTCACTGCTGATACCAGTACTCTACTAAAGCAAAGTGTGTGCAAGTAGTATGACCCCAACCCTGAATCTGGTGAGTATCTTGAATCTGGAATTTGGTTGATGGCCATTGTGGTTTGGTTTAGGTGTGTTTGTATGTTAGGTATTTTCCTATAGAAGACTGGCACTAATTTCTTTTTGTTAGAAAGATTGCATAACATCTTTTATTGTGAAATGTGTTACTGTGTGAAGTAAGTCAAGCATACAGAAAGTAATCCAATGAAATCTACCCATTATCCACGTAACAACTCAGTCTGTATAAAACCAGGCTGTGTGTAACCACCGGTAACAACAAACACTTCTTTGAGGGAAGTGCAGCAGAAAAGTGTTTTGCTACCTGCAGCTGAGTCAGAACCAAAGAAGGTAAGAAACTGGCAACCAGACACAAGTGATTTTTGTGCATGTATAGCTTTATAGCTTCAAGATTTCTGCTGGAGTGATCTATAAGCATAAGAAAGTGGGTTGCAATAGGCAAAATTTAGAAAGTGGCTTCCATTCATGATGCTCTTCCAACAGAGACCTTTGGGACCAGAGTTTTTTGGAGCTCAGAGTGGTGTGCTCACATCAGTCAGCTCACACCAGTCAGCTCAGAGTAGCGTGCTTATGAATCTGCTTGGACAAACAGCCTGCCTGGCAGCCCCCCTGCAATGTGGAGCTGCCCCCAGAGGCCGCAGAACCCTCAGCCGGTGCTGTGGTGAGCTGAGGCAACACAGCTAGTGTCGCTGCGGCAGCACTGAGCTCGGGGCCAGGCGCCTGACTCCTTCACCCCTGCCTGCCCCCTCCGGTTTGGCTAGGAATGTGCCCATGCTGGTCTTCAATGAGATTTCCCAAACTCTGACTTATATTCCCATTGTGACCTGGGCTTGCCTTGCACTGCGTTGCTACAGCAATGCCACACCTGAATTGTTTGTAAACCTGGCAGGCGATGAGTTTCTTCAGCTGCAGCACAGTGGTGACTTCTCTGCTGGTGGAGCAAGGCATGATTGCTCAATGCTGTGGCTCTCTTGCCTTTGATGTGTGAGAGTTTTTGGGCAGAGGGAAGGCATCTCCTGGTGCTGACTTTCTGCTGCTCTGGGGAATTCCCAGCTTTTCTGCAAGAATTTCCTTTTAAGTCCCCTGACTTTGCTTGTCCCTGTGCTCCTGGGTGACTTCCATGTTTCCAATGTGGGGATCCCTCATGGGGCTCATGCCTCTGCTATGCTTTTGGTGCTGTCTGCCTTGGAGACCTGTCCCTGGACAGCTACATCACAGGTCTTAGAATCATAGAATCCCTGCAGTGCCAGCTTCTCCTGAGGAAGCCTTAGTGATGCTGGACAAAAAATAAGATTTCTTGGTCTGCATAGCGAAGAGGAAGATACTGCCGGGTGCAAAAATGTTTTCCTTGGTGTCTGACTGCTAAGTGATTAGCCAGGTTATGTTTCTTTACCCTCACATACCACACGTTCTAACAAATGTATTTTTATGAAGCACCTGAAACTACAATAGCAATATTCGATTTCATAGACTCATAGACTAGTTTGGACTGGAAGGGTCAATAACAATAATCCAGTTCCAACCACCTGTCATGGGCAGGGTCATCTTCCACAAGCCCAGGTTGCTCAAAGCCCCATCCAACCTGGCCTTGAATGCTGCCAGGGGTGGGGCAGACACAACTTCTCTGGGCAACCTGTGCCAGTGCCAGTGCCTCACCACCCTCATAGTGAAGAATTTCTTCCTAACATCTAACCTAATTCTACCTTCTTTCAGTTTAAAACCATTCCCCCTTGTCTTGTCACTACATGCACTTGTAAAAAGTCCCTGTGCAGATTTCTTGTGGGCCCCCTTTAGGTATTTGTATATTAGTGGTATATATAGGTATTTTTTATTTACTTATATACATATAGGTATTTTGTTTCTAAAAAACCTATGCAATAATTGTTTACATTAGATCTGATTTCAGACACACCACTTTGTATGAGTAATTTCAAACTGTTTATTGTGCAAAAAATGCCTTTTGTGACAAAAAATAGTAGAAAAAAAACCCCTGTATTGTTTAATTTGTTCTCAGGAAACAAGCTAGTATGTTAGCTGTAGGCAGAGAGATGAGCACAGTTCAAGGGTTAGTTTACATTGCAGTTTGAGCCTGGGAGGGACGCACACTCAGGGTACCTGCTACAACTGTAATAAGCCATTGACTTATGACAGGCCAATCCTATCTTGGGCTGCATCCAAAGAAGCATGGACAGCCGGTTGAGGGAGGTGATTCTCTCTCTCTACTCTGCTCTCATGAGACCTCACCTGGAATACTGCATTCACCTCTGGAGTCCTCAGTACAGGAAAGACATGGACCTGTTGGAGAGGGTCCAGAGTCAGGCTGCAGATATGATCAGAGGGCTGGAACACCCCTCCTATGAGGAAAGGCTGAGAGAGCTGGGGTTGTTCAGCCTGGAGAAGAGAAAACTCCAGGGAGACTTTATTGTGGACTTTCAGTTCTTAAAAGGGGCCTATAAGAAATATGGGGAAAGACTTTTTAGCAGGGCCTGTTGCGACAGAATGACAGATAATGGTTTTTAACTAAAAGAGGGGAGATTCAGGCTGAATATGAGGAAGAAATTCTTTACAATAAGGGTGGTAAAACACTGGAACAGTTTGCCCGGAGAGGTGGTGGATGGTGCCCCATCCCTGTACATGTTCAAAATCAGGTTGAATGGGGCTCTGCTCATTGCAGGGCTGTTGGACTAGATGACCTTTGAAATTCCCTTCTAGCCCAAACTATTCTATGACTATCAGTGGTGAATGAATTCCTCATTTTGCTTTACTTTACTGTCTATCTCAAGCATGAATTTTCTGATTCTCTTTCCCCCATCTCACCTGGGGAGAGTGAGCAAGCACCTGTGTGGGGCTCTTGCCTGCTGGACCTTTGAAGGTCCCTTCCAACCCAAACGATTCTATGATTCTATGATGATTCTATGGTGATTCTATGATTGATGAAAGGCAAGAAGCATAGCAGCACCATGTGTCTTATAAGTGCAGATGAATCAGCTATGTGCTGAAACATGAGGGCTGTAGTTCAGGCAGGTGGTCTGCCTTCAGCACTGGCTGAATTTTTAACCAATAGCAGCCACATGCAGTAATGTTATCTGGGGTAATGTGTCATAATCAAGGGAGTCTAGGCTCAATCCAAGATGTCTTTGGAAGCATGGATAGGGATGTACAAATGGAGTGTGCATGTGTTCTTTCTACAGAGCCCCTCGTAGATCAGCATTGCTTCTGACATGCTCTCTTAGCCTTTTGTTCATCTTTTATTTGCAGCATTTCAAATTAGAAACAAGATTCAATTTCTACAAATGTTTCTTAGACTTTTTACTGTAAATAAATATTCTGATTGTTGGCAGAACCTTCCTGGATTACTCAATAAAGGATTATTTCCTTATTAGTCTTTACTCCTCCTCTTTCTATCTGGTTTATTTTCCAAAAGCGCAGTCTAGGAGCTGCGAGGCACCAGCCATGCCCCTGTCCCAGCCTCTCCTGCACGCTGCGGTGTTTGCATTCACAGTCCTTCAGGCCCTTGCCTCCGACACCTTCATTGCAGCCGTCTATGAGCATGCCGTCATCCTGCCAACTGCTGTTATTAAGCCTGTTTCTCCTGACGATGCTTTGGCCCTGATGAACAGCAACATGGATGTCTTGGAAGGGGCCATCAAGGAAGCCGCCCAGCAGGTACTAGGTGTATTGTGAGTGCTGTCAAGTAGTGTTTTCTGCTCCTGGTTGTCTGTTGATGGGTGACTTCTTAATGGAGCCTGTTGTGCCAGGGTGCCCACATCATTGTGACTCCTGAAGATGGCATTTACGGCTGGCGCTTCACAAGAGAAACCATCTACCCGTACCTGGAGGATATCCCAGATCCAGCGGTGAACTGGATTCCCTGCACTGACCCCACAAGGTGATTTCTTCTGCATTGATTTGCGTGCTGTTAAGCTAGTGTCTCATGGAATCAGGAACTGCTCCCAGTAAATGCCCCCAGACTGCTAATTCTTTTATTCTATTAAAAATCCAAAACACTGTAGAAATGAGGTGCATCAAAAAGAACTCTTAATTAGATGGTAATGGGATTATGCAAGGTAAAAATTATTGAGACAGTTTCACTTTTAAAAATTGCAAAAGGAGAAAAATGAGGAAATGTTAGGCAAAATCAATTATTAAAACATGCAAAACTTTCTCTCTTCAGATCAGTTGTGAAAATCTGTAAGTATCCTATCAGATGCATAGATTAGACAAGGTGATTCAGTCTTCATTACACGTGGCTGGGTGATTTCTAAATCATATTGTACAAAGTATTTATCTAGAGCTGAAAGAAGTGCCTTTTAAAAATCCATCTGCCTGCACAGTCTGCTGCATTACGCAGGGCTGCTCTGAGTGGTGTCATCAGCGGACATCAAGAGGACTGAGTCTGTGTCCAAGCTAAGCTTTTGTATTCTTCTCTTCTGAGGCTTTATGAAATCAGATTTTAGGAGCCCTAGGCTCTAAATGCTGTGGTCACTTTTTACTAGAGGCTTATGGGCCACTATCTTAGACAGAGTAAGAATCTTAAAAGAAGGCTAAACTCACTTTTTGGAATCAAGCCTTAGAGCTGCCTGAAAATTTATCTAATTTCTTTCAAGTTCATGCCTGCATACTGGTTTATTCTCTTGTTTTCTGAAGCTGTCCAAATCTTTGTATGTGTGTTATCTGGGAATTATATCTGCACAGAAAACAATATTGCCAAGGGCACAGGAAAGAAGAACAGAAGGAGAACATCTTTTAAAGGTAAAAGTGATGGGCAAATTAAAATGATGCTATGAACAGAGAAGAAATGAACAGAACCTATGATTTGATCTACCCCTTTTCAGCACCTGGGGATGTGCAGTTAGTGGTATAGTAATTTTGAATGCATTTCTTCCATATCTTAACTTAAACTTATAAAATTTGTTCTTTTTTTTTTTTCCCTAAAATACATCAGATTTGCTCCTGCTCCAGTGCAGGAACGACTCAGCTGCATGGCCAGGAATAACTCCATCTATGTGGTTGCAAACATTGGGGACAAGAAGCCTTGTAACTCTAGTGATCCCAGCTGCCCCGAGGATGGTCGCTATCAGTACAACACTGATGTCGTCTTTGACCCAGAGGGAAAACTGGTGGCTCGTTACCACAAGGTAAAGAGGCACTTCAGCATCACCCTGTCATTGATTATCAGTATATTTTTCATCTCTCTGGTACAAATTTCAGTAGGTTTACACAATAATTTTACATTATTGTTGAATGACAACCAATCCAGGATGATCTGGTGCAAGAATCTTACGAAGGAAAAGCAGGCAAGTTCTTGCTCAATCAGGCATTATTCCCAGGAGCACTGCAGTAGCAGAATGTATGCCAGATACCAAAAACCTAAAGGCTACATTTATGATAGTAAATGGGAAAAGAGCAGTAACAGTTTTTCATACTCAGTAAATGTTAGCTGGTCCTTGGTACACTTTTAGGCAAGCCAGAAAGAGCTTTAGCAGGTGACGTCTTTAGCAGTTTATACTGGCTGGGCTTTGCTCCCAGGAGGCAGACAGGGCACAGCCACTCCATTTTGCAGGGGCAGAGTGTTAACTGGATGAATGCAAACCCAGTGACCAGCCAGCTCAGATATCTCAACCCCCAGCTTTGTCTTAAAGCCTATCTCAGGCATGAAAGTAGCTGTTCTTAATTTTGCCTTATTTTCAGTTTCTAATATGGCATCTTTTTCACCTGCAGTACAACCTGTTTAGAGGAGAAACTCAGTTTAATTACCCAAAAGAGCCAGAAACCATCACCTTTGAGACCCCCTTTGGGAAGTTTGGCATTTTCACTTGCTTTGACATCCTTTTCCGTGAGCCTGCTGTGGTTCTGGTGAGTGAGTTGCAGGTGGACAGCGTGCTCTTCCCTACAGCTTGGATGAACGTCCTGCCCTTTCTGACTGCGGTTGAGTTTCACTCTGCCTGGGCTATGGGTATGGGTGTCAATTTGCTTTCAGCAAATACTCACAACATCAGCTTTGCAATGACAGGTGAGTTACATTTGGGAAAAAGGAAATTGTCTTCAGCATAGTGGATTCAGAACTAGGCAGAAATGTTTTACAAATAATGAAGTCTCTGAAAAATAATGTTTCAATGAGAATAAAAATCTTCTTGATGTTTTATTGAACGTATTAAACAACTTCAGGCAAGAAAATGTTGACTATTCTGGAAGGGTTTAAATTAGAAAGTCCATGGCATGAAAATTTGATTATTTAAAAGTGAAATTTTATTTAAAAAATAGGACAAAATTTCACTTAAATTATCAGCCTTTCGTTGAGAATAGCATTTTGAGATTAAAATTCAAAAAAGTTAAATGAATTAAAAAAGGAAAAAGGTTTTAAGCAAAACTTAATAACCTAAAACTGAAACTGTCAATTAAGAAAGTGTTGCTGTAGCTGCATCTGTAAGCATGAAGCTTCTGAAGCCAAAGTGAAAGGCATAAAGGAACATTTATGCTATAAATAGATTGAGCTTAGTTTAAGCCACTGCCCTGTGTTTCCTTCCATGTAATTACCCCTGTGGTTTCTTTCTTTAGCAAATATGCCACTCTTTGAGCTCTGATTTATATTTAAATTAACCTAAGTTCTTTACAAAAAAAAAGCAATTGCCATATGAGGCTAAGCTTCAAAATCCAGCAAAGCACAAAACCGGTGAAGTTTAGGTCACGTTTTACACTGTGGTGGGTATTTTAGCTGTTCTGTGCTTTAAAATTCTTCCAAAATTCTCTGTAACATGTTGACTGAAAATAGCATCAATGAGCAAGCCTGACAGTGTGTCATGGGGGAAAGCTGTCCCCCCGATGAGCTGTTCTAGGGGTGCTGACTGACGGAAGGATGGTGGGTGTCCTTGACAGGCAGTGGGCTGTTCATGCCGGAGGGACCCGCCGCCTACCATTACGACAGTGAGACTGATGAGGGACGTCTCCTGGTAGCAGAGCTGAATGCACAACCCCGTGTTTCCCCCAACTACCCTCCAGCCATCAACTGGAGCTTGTATGCCACAAGCATCAAGAAATTTCCAGAAGAAGACACATTTCTGGGAGCTGTCCGGAAGGATATATTCACTTTCAGTGAACTCAGGCACAAAGCTGGAAATTATACAGTTTGCCAAGGAGACCTCTGCTGTCATTTGATCTATCAAATGTCAAACAAGAGCAAAGATGAAGTTTATGTCCTGGGTGCATTTGATGGGCTTCATGGTTCTCTCATAAAATACCACTGGCAGGTAATTATTTTTGTAGGGGGGAGTGTAGGCTGTGTATGCCTACATCCCAACCACCCTAAAATACATATCCTTTACTGCATTGTGAGAACCTTTCTTGTAATCAAATCCAGCTTTTGACTGTTGAAAGCTTAGCAGTATTTTGCCTTTCTGTATCTTCCTCCCCACAGATATGCACGCTGCTCAAGTGCAAGAGCACAGATCCAGAAACATGTGGGCAGCCGGTGGAGACAGCTCAGACCAAGTTTGAGATGTTCTCCCTCAGCGGCACGTTTGGCACCAGCTATGTTTTTCCAGAAGTCTTGTACAGTGGGGTGCAGCTGGCCCCTGGGGAGTTCGAGGTAATGGAACACCCTGGAACTGTTTGTTACAAGGTTTTCCAAGCAGTAATGCTGGAAACCAGTAGGGCAGCAAAGTCCCATCTAAGAACCACTGTCCTTGGTTCTGCAGATCATAATTCAAGGGAACATTTGAAAGGATAGATTGAGCTAACCCTCACTGATGAGAACATATAAATGTCGAGAATCTCTTCAGTGTATTCTTTTGCAAATATGCCTTCCAATTTTAGGTCCCAAATCTATAAATAACAGCTTTCAAGGAGTTATTTTCTACAGGTTTCTGCTGATGGAAATTTCAGGAAATAAAGAAATCAAATGCTCTGAGAAATTGTCCAAGCAAGAACAATTACTGAGTATTATGCATAAAGAGCAGAGACCATATGCAGTTAAAAATGTTACAGAGAGTTTTGAGGGTTTTGTAAGGTGGGCGTTTTTTATTTGAAACTTCATCTTATGTTCTCATCAAAATATGTTTTCATTCATAAACCTTAGATTACATTTTTATAAGTGGCTAGATGAAATCCTAATTGGTTTGGAGGAGGTATTTAATAGCTTATAAGAGACAATGAAGACAGTGCAAAAGACTTGAAAAGTTTTAGGGGAAACAAGGATGTTTTTTTTACAAGGTAGGTCATCCTACATATTTGTTTTGTATGGGACTTCTGTAAAAGCATACATTTATTGGTATGTTAAAATATGGCCATGGACTAATTTAAAATAATAGGTAGAATTGGGGTTGTTCAGCCTGGAGAAGATGAGGCTCTGGGGAGACCTTAGAGCAGCTTCCACTACCTAAAGGTATCTGGAGAGAGACTTTTTACAAGTGTATGTAGTGACAGGACAAGGGGAACTGGCTTTAAACTGATAAAAAAGAGATTTAGATTAGCTATTAGGAAAAAATTTCCACTATGAGGGTGGTGAGGCACTGGCAGAGATTGCCCAGAGAAGTTGTGTCTGCTTCATCCCTGGAACTGTTCAAGGCCAGGTTGGATGGGGCTTTGAGCAACCTGGTCTAGTGAAAGGTGTCCCTGCCCATGGCAGGGGCTTTGGAACTGGATAACGTTTCAGGTACCTTCCAAACCAAACCATTTTACAGTATTTTCTTTATTAATACATGCTTACTGTTTATTACAGAGCCTCTTAAAGAGTTGCACATGTTCACCATCTATGAATCACAGTGATTTCAAATTGATCCATAAAAAGTAAGAAAAGCAACATATGGTCAATAGCTTGAAATACCCATCTTCCATCTTGAAATTATTTTGGGGTCTACAAATTGAGAAAGATTTCAAATTGCTGTCTTAGATATGTGTATAACCTTCATTGCCGTATATGAGTAACTAAACAGAATGCAACCAATCAGTTATTCTCACTCTCACCTTCTTATGAGGTGGAGAAAAAGATCTTTTTTTTTCCCCAAAGATGAGGCTGGAGGAAATTTTAAAGATCTTCAGGTCCAAAGGACTGTGGCATAGCTATTGCAGAGCCAGAGAGAATTCTGGTTTCTTTCATTCTCATGAGCATATTTCAAAAGTGCTGCATTAAAATGTTCAACACATAAGGCCTATCCTTTCTGTACTGTGCAATATTGCTACTCTGTTAGTGGACTGTTAGTATCATTCTTTCCATTTTCAACTAGGTGCTACGTGATGGGCGTTTGAAAAGTAAGCATGGCACATCAAAACCAGTAATAACAGTGACGCTTTTTGGAAGGCTTTATGAAAAGGACCTGCCTCATCCTCTGCGAATGTCTCCATCGCATAACACCGCTGTTACACAGTCACCATAGACAGGAGGGGAATTTCCTATGCTGATCTACCTTCTCATGAGTCATGGCAGTTATCCTGTATCATTCCTCTTCTGCAATCTTGCACTTCCTCTCAGCAGCTGTGTTAGTTGGCTTTATTTAGGAGAAAGTGATGTGATCACTCTGTTGTGTACACGTTGTTAATAACGCTTGAGCCACTGCAGTTATTTTCAGTATGAATGCTCTGTCACATTAAATCTTTAATTAGATTTTTTTTTTAAAGATATCATGTAGATTGCCAGGATAGCATTAGAAAGAAGACTGATACTGAAATGTGTGAAATGTGAAGTTTGTCAGTTTGCTGCAGAACAAATCTTTCCTAAGAAAAACTTTCTGTCCCTTTTGCCCCTTCCTGTTTTTTACACTGTATAAGCATTAAATGTCTGTGTTTCTCAGCCTTACACACCAGTCAATAGGGCCTCCTTAATACCCAATGGACCTTTGCCTCATTTTCACCAGGGGACACCACATTGAAAAGAAAAACACATGCAAAATAGTTTTAGGTGCAACCTTAGGGAGAGAGTGGTCCTCCATAACCCCCACAGGCACTGAGTCTGGCTGAGGTTTGTAAAGCATCCTCAGTACTTCAGTCCTTCTGAGCTTGCATTGCTTTGTGCATGACAGATGCATACTGGGTCCAATGCATTTCAGATCAGACTTACCATATATACATAGAATACTAACACCTTCTCCTGGGTATTTGGAAAAATTCTTCAAAACTGTGAAAACACAGGCAATTAGGCAGTGTTTTAGTACCTGAAACTTATTTTACCGATTAGTGTGAGAAAAAGGCATTATTTGGGACTTCTAGCAATGATATGATAATCCTGGGCCTGATTTCTATTGTGTTCTGCAGCAAATAGGCCTCATTCACACCACATAAACCTTTGAGTGGTCCCTGACTCAATGCTTATCCCATAGCCTCTCGCATCTACTGGCCTTCACATCACTAAAAGCCCACACCAAGCTTAGCACTGAGCTGCGTGAAGTGTGGCACATAAGAAACACTCTGTGGCTTCCCACCCCATACACACCAACGTATGTTATCCAGAAGTTGCTGAAATCACACGATTTCTGTTTCGCCATGTGCTGCTCCTTCTCAGCACACAATTTTAGAGGTTTCTTCCAGGATTTGCTTCATCAAAACAACTGAGATCATACTCAGGGGAGGGACTGTAGTGCTTAGGAGCAGTTATTTAAGATAGATAGGGGCTCCAGGTCATGCTTGCTAGTGCCGTAGCACCTCACCCTTTTCTCACCTGACTTGTAGTTGTAACCCAGACAAGTCTTTCATCAGACAAGGAAGTTTTGGTCAAGGAAAGTTATGACCAACCTGTGTCAGTACTAATCCCATGTCACCATAGTGCATACAGGGTGCAGATGGCTACGCTATGGAACGGGAGCTGACCCTGCTCCCCAAGCCAGTTGGGTACACTCCAAGAGCCCCTTGTCTCCTTCATAACAGGCAACAGTTTGGGAAAGGCAAACAAGGCTAAGCATGCTGAGACTGTCCCTGCCCATGGCAGAGGGGTTGGAACTAGATGATCTTTAAGGTTTCTTCCAACCCAAATCACTCCATGGTTCTGCAATTCTGTGCTGATTATGAAGGTCTGCAGTGTCATCCTATTGACCACGCAGGTCCATTGGTTTGCACTGGGGTCAGCACAGTTGGGCACATACAGTGGAAATTGTGTCTGCAGCAGAGCACCTAGGAGCTTTGCCCTGGGGGGTGGTCCCCATGGTAGTGCTTCCTCATTCATCCTCAGTGCTGCTCACCCACTTAACTGCCCTGGGAGAGCTCAAGGAAGCACTCTGAGAAAGGCAAGAGCTACCCTGACTTGTAAAATCTGGTGCTGAAAAGGATTCTAAAAGGTTTTTAACTGGAACACATAATTCTCTCTATGGACCCTGAACCCTGCTTTTTCTCTCTACCCTAGACGTAGAGGTACATCTGATACCTTTCTATTCTAGTCTTGGTTGCTCCTTGAGACAGCTCAGGCCTTGGCGCTGGTCAGGTAGGGATGGAAGAAAGAGGGAGCCCCACTGGAGGGGAAGGTCTCTACCTCCCCTCTCATCTAGCAGCAAGAGCTGCACAATCAGGTGCCAGCCAGCACTGCACCTGCTCCTCATGCCCCCTGCCGCTTGCCTCCAATCTCACCCTTGGCTGCCCTTCTGGTGAAATATGCTTTTATTACCTGGCATAGAATTGCTCATGTGGAAAAGAAAAAAAAAAGAAAAAAGAGAAACCACTACTGGAGTGGCATGTGAACACAATTCTGTTGTTTTTTTTTTCTGTCGCAGTCAAATCACTTAATTAAAATCTCTGGTCAGCATCAACAGCTTTATGCGCTAATCCACAAAAAGACAGTTTAGAGGGAAACGCTTTACAAACACATTAGTGGCACTCTTGAAACAAATACTTTGCAAGTTGCTGGTACTCTAAATCCTGAGTATTTAATGTACGCCAAGTGGTTGTGGGATTTACTAAAATCTGTCTGAAACTGAAGAGGAATACAGTTGGGAGACCTGGATTGAGCAGAACTGTAGACATTCAGTTTACTGTGACTAGGTTTATCTTTCTCTTATCAGGTAAAACTTCCCTAAAATATCTGTAGCAGTGGAGTCAGTTCATGAGAGATACTGGAATTGGGCCCTTGGGGAGATAAATGAATTTCAACAAAATATTTTTTCTTTTACTCAAAGGTAGATTTTCTGACACGTTTTTCTTCCTTGTCACCTACTGAGGCTACGATAACTGAACATAAAAAATTCTCACATACTGCTTGCTGGCATTTCTTAAGTATGGAGTTACTTCCCAGACACATCCAGAGCTGACTGTCTTAGGTTGTCAGAGCTGAAAATGGGGGGGAATACCATTGATACTGCTAGGTAACATCAGGAAATGACTCTTAAACCTCATGCATTAGGGATACAGAATTCCAGGATTCTTTGAAAATGACATGAAAAACAAATCTGAAGAATAGTTGAATGATTTTGAATATTTGCTGCACAGCTTTCCTCTCACTGAGAGGGTAAGAAGGGTACCATACAATCCCTTTCTCATTTCTGATGATAAAGCAAGAATTTAACCAAGCAGAGGATAAAGTTATATGGACCCTTACAAAAGTCTCAGAATAGCTCCATCAGTTTTATGCACAAGAACCATGAACCCTGCTTTTGGATAGGGGTTCCCTGGAAGGATGCAAAATCCAACCAGTTCTTCATCCGAGGCGGTCACAATGACTAGATGAAGTTCTGTTTTAGGAAATGTGAGATTTTGTAATACAGGCTAATTTCAAATGATGCAAATTGCAGCGTACAGAAGCAGAGAGATAATAGATGGCTGATGCCACAAATCACATTAACTTAGAACAGTTTCTGTTGAATTCATGGGAATTTAACCAGCTGTGCCATTACATTCCTACTTGCTAAGTGGGAGTTAGAAAACAGAGAATGTTAGCTCAAGTTCAGGAAAAAAAATAAAGGTCCTCTCTACATGCCCCTTATGGGACAGAATTTGGGCTTTTGAAAGAACAGGAGTGTTTATAGACTCTGGGGCAGGTATGCCAGAGAGGAGGAATCAAATTAAATTTTTTGTTATTTACGTCAATGACTCCACTTCAAAAGCTGCTCCAGATTGTATCCTAGTGAGCTCCATACTTTTCTGAGGTGGAAAAGCCTGTTCTTCACACAACATTATTTCTTCCTTATACCTTGATGTTGGTGGAAGCAAAGAAGACCCACCTGTTTAAGGTATTTCTGATGACACAGAGAAAAACAAGTCCTTAATAGATTCTATTGATGAAAGGCTTCAGATGACGGTAGAAAAATACTGCATTAAAACAAGTGTAATCCAAATTTTAAGGCTGACTTAAGTAAGATCAGGTAACAATTTAGGGAAACTTTAATTCTGTGTAAAATCAAATGTACTTTCTTATACATGTTGAATTAAAGCAAGCAGACCTTGAGCGAAACTAGAGTGACAGAATCTTAATAATCTGAAGGGCTTTTTTAAAGAGAGGAGAACACTACAGCCATGTCTTTGTACATATATTTTAGCCATCATAACCGCAAGTTATCCATTAAATAACATGGAACAGTGAGGTGCAGTCAGAGATTGTGCAACTATTAGACCCAGTAACACAATACTAAATGTTTCTGAGCAACTCGTTTTATCATAGGTGAATTACTGGCAGTATGGGATACTGCTCACAGATACCCAGAATCAGTGCAAATATAGTGAGTGACAGACAGAATGACCATGACCTGAATTTGAATAGAAGAATTCATACATTTCTAATTAATTAAGAGCCATATTGTAACCCCACCTCGTCCAAACAGTGTTTGCAATGTCACCATCCACTACCAGGACAGGAAAGTGGAGAGAAGTTGCACAGGTCAATAAAGACAGCAGCAATTATTGTCAGGCTTATCACAGCTAATATTGAAATGCTTCTCAGTGGCTTGTGATGGTCTATGAGATGTCATGGAGATCAACAGAGAAATAATTCCAGTATACCTTGTAAGACTTAACCTCTCAACACCACAGACATACAGCACCTCTTAGTGAAGCTATGGATGAGCATGACAGCATTACCAGGTGTTTCTGATGTGTATCAGACACAACTAGAAATGACCAGTCTTGGTGAAACAAAAACTTTGCATATTGGCAACAATATGTTAATTTCTTTTTCAGTTTAGAAAATAAGAATTAGCAGAAGCACTTATAGGCTCCATCTGTGAAAGTATTAAAATGTTTGTTGTAGCTGTTCATTACTACAAAGTCGTAAGTGAAATACACCCTTACCTCTTCTTCACTGATCCAATATTCAGATGACATACACCAGTTACTGAGGAGATAAATGAAGCTTTTCTGGTGAAAAAACAAACTGCCCATGCATGCCTTCCTGAGAGTGGGCAGCAGAAGGTGAGTGTGAATAGCACGCACAATCTCTTAACACTTGTAGTTTCTGCAGTAGTTAAGTTGCTGTTCCTTCAGTGCCAGGATACCATGTTCTCATGCACAGTGTTGCTGCTTTCTGCAGCAGCAGACAACTGTGGGAGCAAAGTATGGCACCTGCAGGTACCTCCTTTAAAATGTCCCACAGTGCAGCCACACTGGCATCTGTAGTCTGTTGGGCTTGCAAATGGACAATTAGAAACAGACTTGTTCAATACTGCTAGGAATACAGCATGTGTTTGTTGTGGTCA